CCTGCTATTTGCTACGTTTGGCCTGGGGTAGGTCTTGTATAAAAAAGGGGGTTACAATATAGTAAAATGTATTTAATGGACCATAATTTAACAGATTTTGGACTTAATAAACAAAATCTGTTGTGGATAACATATGGGAAGAGGACTAAAGTCTGTTAAATCTAGAATTGACAATGGTTGTTATGCCCCATTTGGTAAATTGATTTCATATTTAGTGGACAGTCCATTGAGTCGGAATTGTCTGTCACTGTTATGGGCTACTGGGTTAATTGTTTTTCAGTTTAATGGACAGTTCAGAATTGTCCATTATTGTTATCAAGGGGGAAAACAATCTTATTTGAATGTACACCCCTCTTCTTGCCTCCCCTTTAGTCTATTAAGTTTAGGGTTTATATACCTCTGGCATGAAAGCAGAATTATAAATTATCAAAACTAGTTTTGATAATTCATGAAATTAGTATTTACAAGCAAATAATTTAATAATTTTTCATCATTTTGTATTGGAAATGTTGGTGGGGGACATTTTGAGCATTCCTGTTGCCAGCTGTTTTGGCAGTTTATTTAGGTACTGCCCATCATCAACCACCAGTGACGATTTACAGCAAATGAGGCCAGCAGTGATAAATAATAAATGCTGGATTAAGAATTATTGTATTTTAGATCTTTGAAGACAGATTGGTGTGAAAAATATTGAAGAGGGTGGCAGTGAGGGATTATTAAGCATGATCTTTCAAATGAATATTTGATAGAACTTGGGCAAGAGTATGCTAATTTACAAAAGCAGGCAGGTGACGTACTATCCAACCTGAATTAAATCTGTGGTTGTTGAAGGTCAAGGGCAAAAATCATCCATAGCTTGTACAAGTGATTAATACTGATGATTTATCTACAGGGAGCTATAATTTTTTTTTTCTCTGCAGCTGAAAATGATCATTTTATCTACTGTATGTTTCCTTTAGTTGCTAGGAACTTTTCACCACTGTTATTTACATATTTGGTAGCTGTTGTGCTACTTTGTCATAAATTTGCTCCTCTTTTATTCATTTTGTTTGACCACTTCATTGCTCTTCAATGTCTTCGATTTACAGTGGTTATCAGACTCTTTCCCTTTGATGAATTTCTGTTGTCTGGCTTGTTTGATCTTGACTACTTTGTATCTTTTTTTTTTTTTTTCATACTACATTTACTTCTTTCCATGTTTATACAAAATGAATTTCATCGTATGAAAGTACTGTATATAATGAATTGTGCAAAGGGTACTGGGGACCAAGCCATTGGCTTTGCATGGGAGAGTCCACAACTATGTCAACTTGGCTACAGTGTACAGTGGAACCCCGAGTTTCAGCCATAATTCGTTCCAGGAGCTAGGCCTAAACTCGAAACGGCCGAAAGGCGAAGTAATATTTCCCCTAAGAAGGAATGCAAGTACAATTAATCCATTCCAGACCCACAAAAATATTCACAAAAAAATACATTTTTTAAAGAATACAGTAATTATAGTTTAACATACATTTAGTACTTAAAACTTACATATACTAGTATTAAATGAATAATACAATACATAAACAAACATTTAAATAAACATTTAAAATCACATTTACATATGTTTATTGAAGAATCTTGTTGACATCTGGAAGATAGGGAGGAGAGAGGGAGGACTTCTTATTGCCTTCTCCACTGCCTCACTGCCACTATTAAATTTCTTTGGGTCCATGGTGGTTTACTTCAGTCTCAATCAATAAACGAGCAAAAACACACTGAATTTATTGTGAAATGTTTAGATGAGCGTACAGGGTAATGTTCACTCGAGGATAAACAAAGCTAGACTGGCTCACGAAGCCTGTGCAGGGAGGCACGCGGGCAGGTGGACAGGTCTGGTACACCAGCCAAAACCCTGAGCACTGGCCAAAGCGCGGGACAAAATTTGGCCCAAAAAAGCAGTTGAAACCTGAAGTGGCCGATTCTCAGGGCGGCTGAAACCCAGGGTTTCACTGTATTTAACATGAGCTCTGTTGGTAGCCCCAATTAATACTTGATCAACTGGGGCTACCAACAGAACTCGTGAGGCTCCTAGCTCTACCCAGATTTTGTGGATGTAGTGAGATAAGTTTTGGTATTGCATACTCTGTAGCTAAGCTTGGATTTCCAAATACTGTACTGTATGAGGCCATCAGCTTGGACCTAATTCTGCAATCCTTATGCATTTTGTAACTCCTGTTATAGATCTGTGATGCTAATTATTGTTTGATAGTTCAAGAAATTTGTTCTCCCCTATATAATTTTTTCTAAATATATTCCTTGTACTGTACTAGTTCAATTTTTTTTTTTTTTTGCTAGCTCTTACTTAGCTCATCATACATTGATAGTTCTCTGTTTTCTCCATCTTATCAGATCCTGTATACATTATTTTCAAAATCTGAAGAAAGCATTATCAAGATGAATTTGTTTTGTATTGTATATTTACTAATTTGTTTACTTTCTCAAAGAAAAAAAAAAAGCTGCTGTTTATTTATAAAAATTGCTCTATGGACACACTTCACACAGTCTAATTTTCTGTGAAGAATAGATGTGAATTTTGGTGTGGTATTCTGCATCATTTCGTACCTGCTGTTGGCGTCTTACTTCCAGAGGCTTTGGCTCGGACTCTCAACATTGGAGTACACTACTTCTGTTAGGACTGGATGAGCCTGTTACTTTTTTGAAGTGCATTTCATTGAATGACCTTTTGGTCTCTGCATTTTGCCAGTCGGTCAGCCACCTCGCATGCCTAAAGGCACATGTTTTTTACAATGTGTATTCGGTAAAACATGATCACTTTTGATAATTTGTTTTAAAGGGCTCTTCTTTCTTAGTTAATGTTAGTTTGCGTTTGTGTCTCACTCAGTGTGATACATTGATATTGTATATGACGAACCCATCATGGAATTTAGGAATTTGATTGACCATTTACTTTTGGTTCCAGCCCTGGCAGTCCATGTCTTCAGCTACAAAGATTTTTCATTCAAAAGTTTTAGTAATAGTGTTTTTGTATATCAAATATGTAGCTTTTCATGCCAAATTGTTACTATTTTGATTACTTTCCATTAAGTGCTACCTTTAAATAACAAAAAGGCACAATACCGTGACTGGAACGATACACAAATAACCCGCACATAAAAGAGAGAAGCTTACGACGACGTTTCGGTCCGACTTGGACCATTGACACAGTCACAATGTGACTGTGTCAATGGTCCAAGTCGGATCGAAACGTCGTCGTAAGCTTCTCTCTTTTATGTGCGGGTTATTTGTGTATAAGTGCTACCTTTGATATATTTGTTCATTTTTTTATACACTTGGGTTTCCATTTTTTTTTTTTTTTTTTTTTTTTTTTTTGTGTGTGTGTGTGTGTGTGTGTGTGTGTGTTAACTACTATTTCTTAATTACACCTCATTGTACACTAAGCCCTCCACATAATTGACTTCAATAAAACAGATTTGGAAAATATGGAACAAAATTTGCTGGGTCAATCGATTTGGAAACGGACAAAGTCCATTGGTGACAGATTTTGTCCATTATCCCTTAAACTGTCCAAACATAGATCTACGTTCATGTGCGTAGCGCTCTGACCTTGATTTTCCCCTTTCAAAGCATGTAAAAAAGAAAAAATAGATCTACATTCGGAGCCTGCCACACGTCAGCGTATATCTACATTTGGACAGTTTAAGGGTTAATGTTAGTCGTTTCAAAACAATTTCATCTCGGTTTACCATACTTGCCATTACTGGCCACCCACTCCTCCCTATTAGTCCATTATATGGAGGGTTTACCATAGTTGTTCATATTTTATCTCTTGTATTTTGGCATTTATGGTTATTTTAAATATATTTTTTATCCCTCCCTGTTCAGTGTATTGAAATGTTTTTGGGGGATGTAATTGACCCTTTTGCTCAAAAAAAGCTTTATTTCTGTGATCATTTAGTTTTTCTCCTTATTCCTTTATTTTTATTTGACCTGTCAACCGGTCTTGCCCTGTGTTCACATCTTTGCATTTTACATTTTTCTTTATTCAGCTTTCATCAGTTATTCTTTAATATAAAGTAGAGATTGTCTATGTATATTGTGTTTAGGCTGATAAGTATTTTTCCTCATTCCATTTTTCTGCTGCATTTTGTGTGCACGTGTGTGCCCATGTGCATGCTTGCGTGTGCGTGTGTATGTGCGCGTGTGTGCATGTGCGCGTGTGTGCGTGTGCTCGCGTGCGTGCTGTACACCCAAAAAAAAAACTTCGTTTTTCATTATAGAGTGTGGCCTTTAATAATGTTTAGTTATCTGCAATCCCATTTTAAATCTGCTTACATTTGCCATGTTTTTTTTTTTTTTCAGTTAATGCATTTTGCTTTGCCTCAGTTTAGTGGTCTCTCTTGTATTGGTTTGTGTTTCTTGGGTCACGGGTACCTAATTAGGTTATTAATTTCATCCTATTTTGTGGTATTGTCTTTTTCCTGGTGCTTGATTATTACTTGTCTCGCACTTCTATAAGTGTTTGACTGATTTTTCTTAGTCTGCATTTTTTAATTAGTTCATTTAATATCTCTTCCTGCTTTGCCTGATATTGGTACCTTATCTAAATGTTATAAAATCTAGTGAACTCTCAGACATCTTGATTCTCTTTCTTAATGTTATGACAGACTTTGCTGCCATTGTTTTAAACTATTAATATTGAAATATTAAGTTGAAAAATATCGCCTTTAGACACTGGAAATACTTCTTGATCTAGAGCAAAAGTTTTTTCAAATAAATGCTTTGCTAAATTAGAATATTTCATCCATATATTGTGAATTTTATTTGTAGTGTTTTACATAAAGTAGTATTTTTACGTGAAACTTTTCTCCAGCTTGTGTGACTTCTTAGAGTACAGTTTTTCTTATATAGTAATTTGATATGCATGGAAAATTTTGTGAAGAAATTTTGTACAATATTCAGTAAATTCTGTATACTGTATTCTGTATCCTTTCTAACAGGACCACCACCTGCTTCTCCTTATGGTGCTACAGCGCCAAATGTGAGCTATGCACCGATGATTGCCTCGGGTGCACCACCGTCGTACGTGGAGAGCCTGAGTCATCAAGTTGTTGCAGGGCCTGGTGTACCACATCAGTTTTCTTCGCCATATGTGACTCAAGCCAGTGCTGCAGCAGCCTCTGCTGCACAGTTGCAGAATTATAAGGTAGGTGGTGTACTGTGTTCTAACAAAGTGGCATTTATTTTAACTTTTTAAAAGTTCTCTAAACATCAAAAGCCTTGAAATTCTTAATATAAGGCATTACTTTTAAATGGTTGTGGGAAGAAATTGCATATTAAAGGTTGTTAGGTACTGTCGAGTAATTGCATGTCGTTAAATATGAAGGGTTAGTGTATGTATTAAAACACCACACTGTAGTACTGTAGTATAAAAGGAACTAAGCCCTGCATAAGAATGGTAAAAACACTTTTCATTTACACAAAGATGTAAATCAAGACTTCAATTCTAGTCCCTTGTTCAGTAGAGGTATGTACAAACATATACATGATTAAGAGAAATGAGTTAAATCCTGAAGAAACTGTAAGAATCTTTTAAGATGCTTATCATGAAAATAAGATCCTGGCAGTTTTTAGTGAATTCAATTCGTCCCAAGATTCGTGTCAGCATTCCCTTCCAATGCTCCTTGGCTGTATTTCTGGAATACTGTATTTATATTACGAATGTAAAATTTTGCAAGCACGTATGTTTTGGATAAATTTAGATCGGTTACTCCAGGAGTGTTAACATTATTAGACGGCTGTTCTTGGTCTAAACAGTGAATCTTGTGTCAAGAGGCAGTTGATACGCAAGTTGTGATTTACGGCCAGTATTAATGAGCTGCAAGACTAATATTGTTTAGTGTATAGATTAGGTTGATATAGCAGTGGCTGAAAATTATTTCATTGGCATTAACCCCACATACTATGTCTTTAAAAGACTGCTAAAAGCTAATTAACCACTTACATTGAAAAGCAAACACTGCAATCCAGGGCAACATGGCTCCACAGTAGGAAAATCCTGCCACCCTCACTTTTTTTTTAGTTGCTCAGTTACAGCGAGTTGTAGAGACTGTTATTGCATACATGAACATTGCAAAGGCATTGTACTATGAACTTGTTACCATATCACACAATGAAAAATGAAGGGAAATGAATAACGTTGAGTGGTGAATTTTCTTATTCCTATTATGATGACTACATAGGCCGATAGACCACTTGACAGTAGCAGCCTGATTGGCCAGGCAGCCAAGGAGGAAGTCTGTCTTCAAGTTGGGGTTTGAGGGTAGAACCTTAAAACTGGTTAGTTATGTCTTTTCATATATAATGTGTGTGTGTGTGTGTGTGTGTGTGTGTGTGTGTGTAAGTAAAGGTAGAAAGTTGAAAGTGAACATAGAAAAGAGTAAGGTGATGAGGGTATCAAATGATTTAGATAAAGAAAAATTGGATATCAAATTGGAGAGGAGTAGTATGGAAGAAGTGAATGTTTTCAGATATTTGGGAGCTAACGTATCAGCTGATGGATGTACGAAGGATGAGGTTAACCGTAGAATTGATGAAGGAAAAAAGGTGAGTGGTGCTTTGAGGTATATGTGGAGACAAAAAACATTATCTGTGGAGGCAAAGAAGGGAATGTATGAAAGTATAGTGGTACCAACACTTTTATATGGGCTTGAGCTTGGGTTATAAATGCTGCAGTGAGGAGGCAGTTGGAGGCAGTGGAGATGTCCTGTCTAAGGCCAATGTGTGGTGTAAATATTATGCAGAGAATTCGGAGTGTGGAAATTAAGAGGTGTGGAGTCAATAAAAGTATTAGTCAGAGGACTGAAGAGGGGTTATTGAGGTGGTTTGGTCATTTAGAGAGAATGGATCAAGGTAGAATGACATGGAGAGAGTATAAATCTGCAGGGGAAGGAAGACAGGATAGGGGTCGTCCTTGAAAAGGTTGGAGGGAGGGGGTAAGGAAAGTTTTGTGGGCGAGGGGCTTGGACTTCCAGCAAGCATGCATGAGCGTGTTGGATAGGAGTGAATGGAGACGAATGGTTTTTGGGACCTGACGAGCTTTTTGAGTGTGAGCAGGGTAATATTTAGTGAAGGGATTTAGGGAAACCGGTTATTTTTATATAGCCAGACTTGAGTACTGGAAATGGGAAGTGCAATGCCTGCACTTTAAAGGAGGGGTTTGGGATATTGGCAGTTTCAAGGGATATGTTGTGTATCTTTATACGTATATGTTTCTAAACTGTTGTGTTCTGGGCACCTCTGCAAAAACAGTGATTATGTACGAGTGAGGTGAATGTGTTGAATGATGATGAAAGTATTTTTTTTTGGGGGGGGGGATTTTCTTTGTTTTTTTTTTTGGGGTCACTCTGCCTCGGTTGGAGACGGCCAACTTGAAGAAAATTTTTATAATATATATATATAATATATATAATAAAATATATAATAATATATATAAATATATATATATATATAAAATAATATATATATATATATATATATAATATATAATAATATATATATATATATATAATATATATATATAATATATATAATAATATATATATATATATATATATAATATATATATATAAATATATATATATAATAAAAGTAGGTCTTAGACAGGGATGTGTAATGTCACCATGGTTGTTTAATATATTTATAGATGGGGTTGTAAAAGAAGTAAATGCTAGGTGTTCGGGAGAGGGGTGGGATTAAATTATGGGGAATCAAATTCAAAATGGGAATTGACACATTTTACTTTTTGCTGATAAAACGTGCTTATGGAGATTCTAAAGAAAAATTACAAAGGTTAGGGGATGAGTTTGAGAATGTGTGAAAAGGGTAGAAAGTTGAAAGTGAACATAGAAAAGAGTAAGGTGATGAGGGTATCAAATGATTTAGATAAAGAAAAATTGGATACAAATTGGGGAGGAGGAGAAATGGAAGAAGTGAATGTTTTCAGATACTGGGAGTTGACGTGTCGGCGGATGGATTTATGAAGGATGAGGTTAATCAAGAATTGATGAGGGAAAAAAGGTGAGTGGTGCATTGAGTAAAATGTGGAGTCAAAAAACTTTATCTATGGAGGAAAAGAAGGAATGTATGAAAGTATAGTAGTACCAACACTCTTATATGGATGTGAACTTGGGGGGTAAATGCAGCAAGCGAGGAGAGGGTTGAGGCAGTGGAGATGTCCTGTCAAGGGCAATGTGTGGTGTAAATATTTATGCAGAAAATTCGGAGTGGTGGAAATTAGGAGAAGGTGTGGAGTTAATAAAAGCATTAGTCAAGGGCAGAAGAGGGGTTGTTGAGGTGTTTTGGTCATTTAGAAGAAGGGATCAAAGTAGAATGACATGGAAAGCATATAAATCTATAGGGGAGGAAAGAGGGTAGGGGATCGTCCTCGAAAGGGTTGGAAAGAGGGGGTAAAGGAGGTTGTGGGTGAGGGGCTTGGACTTCCAGCAAGCGTGCGTGAGCGTGTTAGATGGGAGTGAATGGGAACGAATGATACTTGGGACCTGACGATCTGTTGGAGTGTGACAGGGTAATATTTAGTGAAGGGATTCAGGGAAACCGGTTATTTTCATATAGTCGGACTGAGTCTGGAAAGGGGAAGACAATGCCTGCATTTTAAAAAGGAGGGGTTTGGATATTGGCAGTTTGGGGATATGTTGTGAAATCTCTATACATATATGCTTCTAAACTGTTGTATTCTGAGCACCTCTGCAAAAGCAGTGATAATGTGTGAGTGTGGTGAAAGTTTTTGAATGATGATGAAAGTATTTTCTTTTTGGGGATTTCTTTCTTTTTTTTTGGGTCACCCTGCCTGGGTGGGAGACGGCCGATTTTGTTGAAAAAAAAAAAAAAAAAAAAAAAAATAATATAAATAAATATATATATAAATATAAATATATATATAAATAATATATATATAAAATATATATATAATATATAAAATAATATATATTATATATATATAATATATATAATATATATATATATATAATTATATATATATATATATATAAAATATAATATACATGGACCCCCCGCATAGCGAACTTAATCCGTGCAAGAGGCTGGTCGTTATGCGAAATGTTCGCTATGCAAATTTAAATTTTTCCCCATAAGAAAAATGGAAAATAAAATTAATCCGTGCAAGACCCCCAAAAAGGGTATGAAAAAAATTTTTTTTTTACCACAAAAAAATGTTAATTTTAGTACACACAAACTGAAAAAGGCATGCACAATTACATGACACTTACTTTTATTGAAGATCTGGTGATGATTGATGGGAGGGGAAAGGAGGGAAGAGAGAGTGTTAGTGGTTTAGAAGGAATCCCCTTCCATTAGGATTTGAGGTAGCAAGCCTTTCTGGGTTATTTCCCCTTTTCTTCTTTTAATGCCATAGGACCAGCTTCAGAGCCCACTGGACTTCTTTTTGCACAACATATCTGTCCAAAAGTGGCCTGTACCTCTCTTCCTTTATGATTTGTCTAAAGTGGTTCACAACAGTGTCATTGTAACAGTCCCAGCACGGCTTGCAATAGCTGTGTGAGGGGGATTTTCATCAAAAAAGGTTTCACTTCAAGCCATTTTGCACACATTTCCTTAATCTTTGAAGTAGGCAATTCCTTCAATTTCTCTCTTTCCCCCCCTTTGAACCAGTTTCCCCAGGTCTGGCCTCTTGGGTCTTGAAGTTGATCTATCAGCTCATCAGTGGTTAGTTCTTCATTGTCCTCCCCCCCAACTCTTCCACATCCTCCCCACTAACCTCCAACCCCAAGGACTTCCCCAATTCCACAATTTATTCCTCAACTGGTAACTACTCCTCCAGGGTTAGCCTCAAACCCTTCAAAATCCCTTTTGTCTAAAACATTCTGGCCACATTTCTTCCAAGCAGAGTTCAAGGTTCTCTTAGTCCCTCCCTCCCAAGCCTTACCTATAAGGTTTACACAACTGAGGATATTAAAGTGATCCTTCCAAAACTCTTTTAGAGTCAATCCATGTCTGTGGTCACTTCAAAGCACTTTTGAAACAGAGCTTTTGTGTACAGTTTCTTGAAGTTGGAAATGACCTGCTGGTCCATGGCTGCAGGAGAGGAGTGGTATTAGGAAGGCAAAAACTTCACCTTAATGAACTCATGTCCCCATAAAGTCCTCT